AAAATCCGATGTATCATCCCAAATGAAAACCTCATTTGCTGTAATATTGTAAGAACATCCACAATGCTTTGGGTCTCTTTTTACATATGTGGCAAATAAATAGACTTAAGTCTATAATGACATGGACAAACCCAAGTTATAAAATCCAAAATCTATCCAATGCAAAAAAAAGTATTAGGTCTAGAACATCTAACAACCAATAAAAATATAATAATAGTAAATGATTGATGATTGTACAGGTTCACACATGAGTCTAAAATAGACCCAAGAGTAGGCTTGGTCTCTTTTTTTTATTGCCACATAAGCTATATTAGGTCCACTTTTAATTGCATTGTGAAACACTTTTTTATAAATTACGTCTATTTCCTAAATGACATGTGAGTTTTTTAAGAGACTCAAAAGTATTGTAGGTGCTCTAAGATTACTAAATAGTGAACCCTGTTTGCACACCCTGGCTTTACATCCAAATGTTTACCTCAACAAAATAAAAATAGCCAACATGAGTGGCCTTTCTCAAGGAAAGCACTATGCCATCCCTAATTTGTATCTATTTATGATGTACGCACAGTACACTTGATGTACACTTATGGAGTATGTCTTATTATTTTGAACCAAGCAATGGTATTGAAAGATAACAAGAAACAAATTGATTAAAGTTCCTAGATTTGTCTCAAAAAAGAAAAATTCTATAATGTGCTTCTTACCTTGAGTTAGCAAGTAATTATACACACGTGTTGTTAGTTAAAAAACAGGACGTAAATAAAAACCTAGACTTGTCTTATCTTCGATTTTCGTTTCCAACTCGGCTAATGATGGGATTTGGTCACCGGCTTTCCTTATTCTGTCCCACCAAGCCTTAATCTCATCCTGCAGATGAAAAAAGGGCAAATATTAGATCAAATTACTCTGTTTTGAATATTTCTGCAAAATCACTCAAAAATACTTAATTTTTCACAACAATGTTTTTTAGCAACAAACTAACCTCGAGAAAATCATGGTTGGACACATAAGGACTCTCGACGTACGATTTGAACCCTCCAAAATCTACCAAGATAGGCTTCTTTGAGCTGCAACATATATTCCCCTCTGTATCCTCTGTTAATTAATCCATGACAGACAAAATAATCAATATTAAAAAAAAATTATTTACAGCATTAAATAAATAAATTTCAGTTTCTTCCCAAACAATGTACACTGATCATCATTATTTTAATTTTAATACCTGTTATTCGAGCAACATAGTAACCGGACCCCTCTAGTCTAGCTTCCAATTTCTGAAGCCTCAATCGGAGGAAAAAACCGTTTAAATTCGATAAAGAGACATCAGAATTCATCCATCTGAGACCATTTGTAATTCGTGATTAGTCAGTTAGGTAATATTTATTTCTCTACATTATTCTGCGCGCTTATTTATTTATTTATTTTTTTCATATTAATTTATTTAGATCCTTTTAACCTGATAATTTCTGCGCGTGACAGGCGCAATTTCCTTACAGCGCGAAACACCTCTTTCTCACCAACTTCATTTTCCGCATTCGAAAAATCACACGCTGAATTTTTCCAAACAATATTCCGAAATTGACCCCTGGCCGGACACTTAATCGCCCAATGACCGAACTCAAAGCACGAAATGCACAAGGAGGAATATTCTTTTTCGACCCCAGCAACTAAACCGATTTTCGTCAAAAGATCCTCAAACTCGGCCTCGGCTAGCTCAGGGCATTTACGTAAATCATGTCCATTTTCGCCACAGAAGTAACAAATCACTTTGCACATCGAATAATTTATAATTTTATCCGGTGTGTTCATAATCTGCTTGAGAGAATCCATTCTCTTTGCGAAAACCGACGTAATTAGTGTTTCCAAACTTGTTGAACCATCATCATAAGGTCCCTTAGTTGCAAATCTCTCCCTTTTACCAATTTTTTCAGGGGCACAATTATTGTGTCTATCAGACACAATAATCTGCATGCACGAGTTATTATTATCTTTGTGGTTTTCATGCAAATTGTCGCCCAATGAAAACTCCAATTTTTTATTATTACAAACCGAGCTGCCCTTCGTCATGTTCGATATCCAGTTCACGAACGAGCTGCCATCTGCCAAAATACAACTGCTTTCTTGAATTCGCATTCTCTTTAAGCCTCTCGAGCAAAAGCTCATACTATTATTGCTTTCTGCATTTTCACGGCTGTCGTTTGACGATCTTTTGCGCTCATATCCATCAGATAATGCTTTAACTTTCTCTTTCCCTTTTTCTCCATACAGAAGACCAATTTGGCATGAACTGTATGCCTTATTTGGAGCTGTAACAGGCCCAGGGGTAGGAATGGGAATTTCAATTTTATTCTCAATTGCTTTTCCAGGAGCTGAGTTGACTTCATCATCCGATTCTTGTTGGGAACTCGAATTCGGCTGGGTGAGCTTTTGAGGTTCGGGACTCAAAGGAATAGCAATGCTCATGACTTGTTTTGTGCTAGCATTGGTTTCAAATCGGCTATTATAATTGCACTGAGCACGTTCGGTAAGTTTGCCGCAAAATTGCAAGTTTATTGGCCCATCCACTTTATTTTCATTTGTTCGGACATCTGCCGTATAATCATGTACAGAATGCATTGAATTAGATGCAACAACAGGAGAAAAAAAAAAACACAAGAGAAGTTGTGATCCTATAGCACAATACCCGAAAATTGCAAAAATTGCAACAATTATGTGCCCCCTCAATCAAAAAGCAATTTTGTTTTGTGAATGGGTAACAAGGGCATTGTGGGTAGAAGGGGAAATATTGAAATGGCCCTCGACGGCCAGACCTTCATCGAATTGAACTTACAACATCGAATTTCTCACAAATACCAAAATTTGGGGGAGTAGGATTTCTGATAAATCAATCAATAAATCAAAACATTTAAAACTTCACAAGTTTTACATATGATATCCTACAAATCTACAAATCCAGGATTAATTTTAATTTTGTTTTCCTGTTCGGCCGAAAGCAGGAGCACACAACTAACGACAATAAAACATAGCAGTGTAGAACAAATTCTTGTGTGAGACAGTCTAACCTTTAGCTGGGTTTACTCGTCATACATCTTTTACAGAAATAGATTATTATGCTAGGAAATGTCATACTTTTGTTCATAAACTTCTTACTTTTTTCAATAGAGAAGTACTTACAAGTTACAAGTTACGACTAATAAAATCCATTAAACTGAAAAACCAAAAATGAAAAAAAAAAAAAAAAATTAGCATGCTGTACCATCATTCTTCTTGCTGCTTTCGGCAGCATCATTAACTCGGCCATTGCTCGAGGGGAGAAAGGGCCAGCGGTTTGCGGTGATGGGTTTGGCACATTTCCACACGAGCTCGGAAACAGGAGAGGGCAGTGCCAGCGCCATGCTAGCACCCGCACCATGGCTTGTGGGGCCCAGTGAGAGGCCTAAGTTGATGCCCAAATCCTTGTTTTCACTCATCATCCACAGTCATCGGTTAGTGGTACCATAAAACCTGTGATTTTGCCAAGAAATTAACATAGGGCGGGAGAGGAGCTTTTTGTCAATCAAGATTTGATAGGAACAAATAACTATTGCCATATATATTTTTGAGAAATAAATAAATAAAAACAAAAACATGAAAGAAGAAGCATGCTTGTTTGCAAATTAATCCGCTCAAAATGAGTTTTGTTAATCCTTTTTTGGATTAACAAAGGTTAATTTTGAAAAAAAGTGGTATGGTTAATTGTTAATGAGATATTGAGTTTAAATTGAAATAATATTTAAGGTAAAATAATTAAAGTTGGTTTGATATAAACGTAGAAGAAAGATGATGTGATGTGATGTGATGGTTAGTTAAAATTATGTGAGTAAATGAATAGTGAATTAAAATTGACTAGTGCAACGCCCATGAACTACATTGGTGTTTTGAAGACAAAAAATTAACTGTGCTTGCACAAAGAATGAAAAGAAATAAAATTCTTATTGTAAAATAAAAATTATAAGTAATTAATAATAAAGTAAAATGATTTGTAATATTATTTTAAATTTTAGAAAATATTTTACATGAAATATTATATATTTTATTTAAGATATATTCATTTTTTCAAAACAAATAGAATAATTAATTTATTATGCAGTTAATATAACACCCGTAAAAACATGCATTAAAATAGAAATAAAATATTTTTAACAAAAAAAATACAAGTAAAGAAATTTATATTCCTATAATAGAATTATAAAAAATTAAGTATAAAACTAATAACTCAAAAATTCACAAAATTAATTATTTAAAATATTACCTATATTTTAAAAAAGATATTTTTTAATATTACAAACACACACATATATATGTGTGTGTACATACATATTTATATTAATATTATCTACAACTCAATAATTTATTGTGAATTAATTTATATTTTTTTTCAAGTTTGATTAATATTTTATATACACAATTTTCTTTCCTCATCTACTATATGTTTACATATCTTAAACTTTATAATATCCAATAACTTAAAATATAATGCGTATTGGTGTTATATTTTTAAACTTTGTGAAATATAAAAATTATTTTTATTATTATTAATTATAATTAACATTATTTATATTTTTAATATCAATATAATGTTTAGTCTCCTTATAGTCTTTATTTAAGTTGAGACATAAATTTTAAATATTTTTTATATTTATTAGATTCATAATTAGTTTAAATATATTCTTTTCAAACTAAAATAATATTTTATGATATGTTAATATAAAATCAATCTCTATTGCTTTATAAGATAATTTTGTAGTTTTTTTTATATCTTTTAATTTAATTTGATAAATTTATATATATGTAATAAGGATGTCAAAACGAAAATCGTTAAATGATAATTTATCTGATATATAATATATAAAAAAAAACAAAAATAAACGAAGATCGTTAAATGATAATTTATCTGATATATCATATTTAAAAAAAACAAAAATACAAACGAATAAGTTATAAAATTTAAAAAATAAGAAGAAAACACATTTATGATAATTTGGTGTATGAATTAAATAAGAAAATGAAATGTAATATATTGTAATGTAGAAAAAAGAAACTAAAAATAGTTTATGGTAACTATTAAAAGAAGGAAGTGAATAATCACATATTTAATTGAATAATATAAATATTTTATGCAATTCAAGCCTAATTAATATTTATTATTTTTATAAAAAAAATATTAATTTATATCTAAGTCTAGCTACGAAGCATGATTTTTTGCCACATAAGATTGTGAAGCGTGCGAGTTTGCCTCATAGGCTCAATGCATTTGACAATATATCATCTATGGAGCCATACGAAGTCATTCACATCTTTACGTGTTTAATGTGTATTTATTGCAGGACACGCAATACAACGAAAAGTATGGATAACTCCATAACAAAATCGATTATATTATATATATAGAGGGATGTGATGTTTAAAATAATTTGTCAATATTATTTAATTATACAAATAATATAAATAATAGTGGGATTGAGTTAAAATTGAGTTATTTGATTGTGAATTAATTGTGAATTGAGTTATTTGATAAACAATTACTTCGGCGAAGTAAAACTCATTATTTCTTCCTCGCTTATTTTTAGTGTTTTGCATTAATTCCATCAAGATAACTTTATTTATTTCTGATGCTCTTCATTCTTACAACTCCATGAAAGCAAAAAATTCAGACTCTCGTGTGTAGGCAAACAAAAGCTCGGATCCCAAATCCTTCGTATAAAAATTCACCAATCTAACATCAATTGCTCTAAAAAAAAAAAATCAAATTTCATTAACAGGTGAACAAAAATTTAGCGCACCACATACCTTTCTTCAATCTTAGCTCTTTCTCCCTTTCTTCTCTTAATATGGGACAGTGTTTCCACACAAAATATACATACAACAAAAATAAGGTAATATAAAAATTCAAAATAAGTAAAATTCTTTACATGTAACAAACACAACCTAGTGAGAGAAAGGGGAAAGAAACAGAGATTTGACTAGAGATAGATCTATGAAGGACAAGAATATGCCACGAACCGCAGGATACTTGGACTCGTGGCCGACGGGCAGCCACGTAAATAATGAAGTTTATATTACATATTTTATTTATTTTAATAGCACAACTCAAAGGGTCTTGGCACTTTGTGCATCATCACATTGATTGATTTACAAAATCTTAAGCACTGAATTTATTATTCATTTTCTTCTGCCCTTTTTACGGATTTTACTAACAACTAATATTTTATCGTGTATTTGCACATATGCAAATAAAACATTACAAGTTATCGTTTACATTGGGGGATAGGACAGGATAGAGAAAGTTATCCCCCATCATCCGTTGTTAAATCGAGACATTGGGATAGGAATAGGATGATGTGGCATCCATGTGGCAGGTTCATTAACTCCATTTATCACAATAATTTGGACAGAAAAATCCCGGGGTGTGGACCTGATAACATTATCCCATACTGTTCATGCCTATTTTGCCCTCAAGATTGGCTGTGAAAATACGCAAACGCCCCCACACATCCAACAATTTACACTGAATACCATTTAATTTTAAATGCTCGGTTCCTTTGCCCTAATCTTGCAATCAAGAATATCGAGCTTCTTGGCTTCATCGTTAACTGGGAGCACTTCGTTCAATCCGTCCGCAAGGTAAGGTCGCTTTGATTCTTCTGTGAGCTTTCTTCATTATAACGACCCTAAATCAAGGTTTTTTTGTGACTCACACTTACTTTTGCTGAGTCGGGTTTTTTTGTGACTCACCCTAAATCTTGTAAATCTGAGAAATGGAGACGAATTTTAAACAAGGTTGCGTCCTTGTTGCCATTTTCCAATCAATTGCCGAAAGTTAAAGTTTGTGATTCATTTATTTTGGGCAAAATAGACGGATGCAATATGTGTTTTTTTTTTGCCAGGAGAAGAGACGAACACGAGCATTGATTCGCCATCGATTTTCCTCCCTTGTTATGTTATTTTGTATATGCGATTATCGATTGGCTTTGTCATTTTTTTTTTATATTATTTTGTGTACTGCATTTGCTTGATACTTGCTGCACTTTTTTTGTAGATCCGCCGCTCGTGGTTGAATAGGTGTTCTTTGGCGTCATTTCGTTGCTAACTAGTAAGTTCCAATTTCCCCCTTTTTCCCGTGAATTTGTCATTCCTTTTTGCCCTATTCTAACCTTTACTGGTGTTTTGAATATGGGGCATTTCCCCTACTTCACTCCGGCTGAGACGAGCAACAGTAGTGGAGGACGTCATATTACTTCGCTATTTTTCGTGAGGACGCACGGTAATTTCCTCTAATCGAAATTTGAGTAATGCGATTTTTTTTTTTGGAGAGAGTGTGTTCGAATTGAACCATGTTATCCGGTTGAATATGTTACTGCCAATATAACTTTGTCCTTTAGTTTTTTTATGTTATATTGAGTTTTCAATTTTGTTTGCCTCTTCTGCACTACTCTTTAATTCAACAGATATTATAAATTGTTTGATGCATTTTTGGATGATGATTCATTCATGTGGTTAACATGTTGTCCAGCATTGTTTGTTTGATATTGAAGGTCGCCATTTATCAAAGTGTTTGTTCATTAGTTTTGGAATAATGGTTTATAAGTGGACAAAGAGTTGAGGATAACATAGTTTAAGGGGGTTATTTTGCCCTGTTGAAGCGGAGTTTCAAATTGCACATACAACTGCTTCACTGTGCCATGTGATAGTGGAAATTGGAGTTCACACTTCGTACATATGATGTGGATTTATTTTCAGATTGCACATATAAGTTTTCATATTGCACATACTACTTTTTCATGGGCTTAATGTTTATAACTTTGCATTATTGTCTTCTTGTGTACAATGGACTGTTTTAACTAGTGACTCAACTTAGCCCTACTTGCAGGAACGAGCGACGCCATTGTTGTGAAGAGGTGGAAGGTTGGGATTCATCTAGGTGAGTTCCTCTGTTATTGTTTATCCTTTTTATTTAAATATTATGGTATTGTGAAGTTATCTTCATGGAGCTATAAGTTCTGCAACATTTTGTGTTACCAACATTGTAGTCTATTGCATTTGTTGAAGTGTGTGGTCATTTTGGTTTGTCCATTATTCCATTGTGTCTCTTTCATCAGTTTGTAGTCAGCTGGATCGATAGAATAAATTTATGAGTTCCTAGACCTAGGTTTGAGGTGTAAAATTATTGGTCTACTAACATCTTAACTAAAATATAAGCGTTAAGATCTCTCTATACTTCCATAAATTTGACAAGCAGGCAATTATAGAAAACAGCATCGACGTCAAACTAGTGAAATCACATCAAATACGGTCCAAAATGAGCATGTTGATTTTATTTTATTTTATTTTTTATTTTTTATTTTTTTTGTAGAAACTCGTCGACTACAACTTCATTGAATATTTGATAAAATTAAATATTATGTGATTTTTGTACAAATGAGTTTTAAAATTTTAGCTCAGTTAATTCTTAATTTATGGATCCGTCCCTGCTAATCATTATACATTTGCTAACAGAAATAAGTAAGTAAATAAATAAAGCATGTGATTAACCCATCAAGCTATGAAAAGTTCAAACAGGTGGGTTCGTGTCCCACAGACGAAAAAAAAAAAGTATTATGTCGGATTGTGTAAGCTTAAATGAAGTAAGCTCAAAAAATTATGTACTTAGCCCCATCTAATTTTTTACTTAGCCCTATCTAATTTCGGATTGTGTAAGCTCAAATGAAGTTTATAATAATAAAAAAAAAAAGAGCACGATTTCGAGCTGCTCCTGCTCATCAATGGCGGAGGTTGCAGTTTTTTGCAAGAGCTTGGAGATGATAACATGTTCAAGTGTGAAGTGACATTTGTACCCTCACTTAAATGAATAGGTTCTTGGACATTCCATATTTCTCATGCCTTTTCAGTTTTTATTTGTTATTGGGCTCGTACATTGAGAAAAGTTTGTCCCACTAGATTATATAAATGGGCTGCCGTGTAGTTTGTCCCACTAGATCATATAAGTTAGTTTAAATAAAAATATTTAAACTAACTTAATTACAAAGTAGTTACCTGATATAAATTAACAAAGATTACAAGATGATAAATTTGTAAGTGACGGTGTCATTTTAAATATATATATTAAAAGTATTTAAAAATTAAAATATTTTTTGTTGTTATTATTATTTAGTTAAATATAATGTTCTTAACAAGTACCCGTGCAGTACACGGGTATTTTACTAGTTTGCTATTAAAACAAAAATAAAACACCTCGTCATCGCTTTATAAAATTGACTAGAATATACAAAAAAATATATATCAAACTACGATAAACGGACATGAAAATCACTGTAAAATGCATGTAAAAATGATGCATGTCATCGATTCATTTAATAAAGTTTACAACATAGACCGAAACCCAAAACTCTTACCGAGTTGATCCCTAACACTCTCGACTCGACTTGTTTGATAGAAAAATTCAATTAGTTGCTTGATCTGAGCTTGTGTAAATATACAAGCTAGTCGAGCTTGAGGTTTCACATGTCAAACAAAACTTTGTAACATGACAATGTTGGAAATTTTAACCTTATGCGAAAACCGCTTTATCCCAGGAGTATTCATATCGAATAATTGAGAATCAAAACCGAATCAAAACGGAAGCGTACCGTAGTTCATGAATTCATTTGCTTGATAATTCTCGTGTGTTGTGTTCTTCCAAACGATCTTGTTGGACTGGTATGGTCTTCCAAACGATCGAACCATATAGCAGATTTTGATCTGTAGTGTTTGTATTGGATATATGATTTTGTTATATTCCCTTATTCTGAAGTGAGAAGGTGAGTGCTTTTAAAGGGAGAAAGCACCCCTTCATAAATCTGCTCGTGTCTTTTCGTCGTTTGGGGCCATAACCAAATAAATAAGAAATATTGATTTTCAGTTCGGTTCCTCAACAAACAAAAAATTACATAATGGTATCTACACTTTTAAATCCATAACAATTTGATACTCTCTTTATTCAAAATTACAAATTAGTAGATCACTTTAATTGAATAATATTATGACAACTATACACATTTAATTTACATATGTTGTCCAATAAAATATTTCTAACAATCTCCCACTTGGACTACATATGCAACCGAACAAATGTGTACTACTTTATGAGCTCAACCTTTGTTGTCACAAACAAGAGTATCCTTTACCAATCTCGTCCATTAATCGTATGACATAGGACTAAAGAGGCCTTCATCATTTTTAGCATGAATCAACCCATCAATAATCACACATATCAATACAATTAAATGACATAGATCAATCATGGAAGTGTAGCATGAAAATTACATGTAATGTGATCTTTCATGCCTATTTTCAACTGGCCACTTTATTCCATAGTAAGATCAATATAAAATCAAAATTACAGAGTATAATACACTGAATACTTTATATCTGATCAGAAATATCCAAAAACACATATACAATATGTCTATAGGACAATTAATACTGACTCCCACTGAAACCAAGTATCCTGAAATTGTGTCACACACATTCGAACAGTATGTTCATGAAAGACCTTGGGTATTAGACCTTTAGTAAGCGGATCCGCAATCATTGAGTCTGTCCTTACATGTTCTATAGCAACTTGTGCACTCTGTACTCTTTATTTTATAACTAGGAACTTTATGTCGATATACTTTGACTTAGTTAAGTTCCTACTGTAATTGGAATATAATACTGCTGAATTGATGTCACAATAAAACTTTAGTGGTCTTTCTACGTTCTCAATAATATGCAGCTCAGTGACATTTTTGCAACTATATTCCATTATTGGATGTCTCATAACAAGCTACAAAATCAGTTGTCTTGACATCCACCAAAATCAGAATCAATATACTCGATGACCTCCAAATGATCTGATTTTCTGTAAGTGAGCATGTAATCTTTAGTTCTCTGTAAGTATCCTATGACCCGTTTGGCTGCTTTCCAACGATCTATACTAGATTTACTTAAATATCTATCTACTATACCAACAATAAGAGATATATATAGTCTTGTAAAGACCCGGGCATACATCAAACTCCCACTGAATTTATGATACACACAATTATCAACAACTTTCGTCTCAAAACCAAATGAG